CATTCACGTTGTTAAGCATATAAAAACCAGCTATTTTTTAAAACAAGGAACAAAGACATTCCATTCTTCCCTGTTTACACCAGTGGGAGTTCTGCACACATCCACTTAACATTGAACCTGCTTGTTGACACTTATTTCTCTGGGAAGCCTGGGAAAATGTGCTAATAATCAAAGATTGCTGTGCAACAATCAGAACCTCAGGAAAAAAAAATCTATAAGACCAACAAAAATGTTTGAGCAATTGACCAGCTGTTGATGCAAGTGCTGGGAACTCTTCCCCACCTTAAAGAAAACAAACAGTCCAGGAATGTGAAAGCTAAACCCATGTAAAACATAGAGGTAGCAGGAATAAAAAAAAAAAAAATAAAGAGTATCTTGAGAGAGAAAACCCAGAAAAGAGCATCCCTAAGTAACAGCAGAGTATGTGCCATGGACTTCCCTCTAGACCAAACACAACAAGAACTGATGGACACTGTAGAGGGAAGAGTCTGGAGTGACAGGACAGTAGGTTGGAGAGAGTTTGAAGAGTGTGATTCATTTGTGCTGAAGACAAGTTGTCAGGTGTTTGGCTATTGAAAGAGCAAAGAACTTGCTTCCTTCTCACAAAACAAAAGGCCTTTCACACCAGTCCTCCCAACTCCTTGATGCAAAACCACAGGAATCATCTGTAGTGAAACAGCAGTTGGAAAATGCATTCAATTCCCAGCTGAAGCACCTGGAGGAAAAGCCCTGTCAGAAAACATCTCTGAATTACAGGGAGAGGATGAGAAGCTGCTTTTAGCAGTGAAGCACAGCACCTTGCCCACGGTATGGCAACAGAACTTTAGGATATAGAAAAGCATTTAGTAAAAACTTTATTTGAAATGTAGCATGAATCCATAACCATAAGCATTAAACCATTCAGTTTTACAGGGAATTTGTACAGTATGACATGTATTTCTACACATGCTCCCCCTCCCTCTTTCTTTATTCAGTCCTTATCAAACAAACAAGAGTTAGACAGGAATAATAAGCATTCACTTCTAAAAAGAAAAACTTTGGCATGTATACAACTGGCTAGGTAAAAGTAAACAGTGGTAGATTCAAGTCAAAAAGAGACCCACTCGTTTTGTTTCACAGCATTTTTGATCAGGATGAAGCTCCCAGCACTACCTTCTGGTCAATACAGAAATGAGGACTTTTTGCAGTCCCTAACACTCTGTTACAGCACATGACCATGTTTAGAGAGAAGTAAAAGAACCAACTTTTAGCTCTAAAAGGTGTCAGTTTCAAAGCAGTTTAGGCCATAAGAGTTTTACACACATTGGTTTGGTCATGAATGAAACCAAACCAAACCTTCCAGGGTTTGCTCATGTTCCTAACTGTGTTACTGAGCTATTTACCACTTGGCACCTCTGGCAACTTCTCCTTTGAACTAGAACGAGTGTCGTTGGCTCACAGGTTGTGAGCATTGCTGGAGTGCTAGAAAAACTGAAGCTTGCACTGTGCCCATCTTGTCTTGGGTTTCTGTCACTGCTGTTGGCCCCTTACATACCTTTCTATTCATCTAAAAAAAGGGGGAAAACAACTTGCAAGACATTTCTCCCTGGCCCCCAGCAGACAATACTTCCATTTTAAAAAGCAGAAAGCAATGAAAGAACCCCTGAATTGTTAACAAGAAATAACAAACCCCCTTTGAGAAGAACTACTGGTGATTCTTCCAGTACTTACAAAAAATACAGTATTTATACAACTTCTCCTGAACTATTAGAATTACCATATCTTAATGCAGTACAAACAAAATAAATCCATAGATACAAATGGCTGCACTTCAAAGCAGGAATTATCTACCCCAGATGTTGGTTTTGCTGCAGTTTCCTTATTGCTGTGGAACAGAGAGTGGTTAAGTCATGTCAGTATGAGCCTCTCTTTCTTATACACATCAGAGCATCTAATCTGAAAGATGTTCTCCAGCAAATCAGAACACACTTAATGTAATTTTTACACTTCCTGCTAAATGTTTGTGATCCAAAGTCGACTGAACTGTGGTGCAAGAGGGCACAAATGGCAGAAGAGCAGAGGCAGGAACAGCAGGTAGAGTATCACAAGTCAGACTCACTACTTCTTATTTCTGGGCTTTAGCTCTTCTGCTGCATTTCGCAGGAAAATGTAGTTTTTCTTCTGTGGATTGTAAAATTCATGACCCTAAAAAGAAAAATAATCTGCACTTACTCTCTTCAATATCAAAAATAACCACCCATCTCTAAGTCCAACTTTAAAGATGCAGCGTAAGAGCTCAGTATTGTTTAGGTCATTTAATTTCATTCTAGGCAGAGAAGAAACTAAACCTTTCATGGCCATTCAGGTTCACTTTATATTTTCTGTCATTCAAATGCCATAAAGACACTTCTTTTCTGAGGGCAGCCCAAGTTCTACAGGAACTGCAAAACTATCTGTTCCCCAACTGCAGATGCAAATCTGTCCTTTTGCATATTGACATTATTTGCATACACATCATCAGCTCAATACCTAAGTATCCAAATCAGGAGGAGTAAACACTAATAAAGCTAATGAAGTCCAACGCTCAAGCTGGAAATTACCAACGCTATTGCCAGAAATGGTTCTGGGAAGGAAGTTTAGGACATGGCATCTACTGGTTTTACTACTTAATATTGGTTCAGAGACACCCCAAGTCTCTCTCTCCCACTGCAGACTACCCAAGGATTAGAACTCAAGAATTCATCTGCCCTAGCAGCAGTGAGTTATCTAACCTTGGGCTAAGACTAGATATAATTCAGCAAATTAAACTTTTGCTCTTTGTGGCAATCGAGTTAATCTGTGTGATTTCTGCATTCATTTCAGTCAAAACCACAAGGAACATTATCCTCAAAGGATCATGAAAATCAGTTACATTTCAACCCTGTTACCCTCCTCAAAGCATTAACAAGTATTTATTTTCCACAGACTACGATTTGTTGTGATTCTGTTGCATCTCTGTTAAGTTTGGAAGAGAAATACATAAATCAGCAGCACCGAGAAGCATCACTGAGGGGTAGTGGAAATTTAGCACACTGAGGAAGTGTTTGTAACCACAGTCACAGCTTTTTTTTTTTAAGGTTCATCTGCACAAGCAGCAGAGCTGTGCATTTCAGAGAGAGCTGAGGGAACCTGTTAGGGTGCCACGCTGCCCCACGACACTGCCCACGGCACAACACGTGTGTGAGCAACCACACCAACCTCTGAATCATGGGATTTACATTCTGCTCAGCCACATTTGCAAAACAGAATCATTTAACCATCTAGTCCAACTGCAGCTAAAACCCCCAGAATGCACAGAGCAGTGTTAAACTTCATCAGGTGTCCAAAACAATGTTTTCTGAGCAACTAGAAAGGCTCAGCTACTGTTGATAAAGGACAGTGAAAGCCTCACATGAAAAGGAGTCTAAGTTGTCAACTGCAAGTATGAACACAAGTCTAAACCTTTCTTACCTTCGACCAATCATAGCTGGAAGCATATGCAAAGATGTTGCCATTATGGTTGAAACAACAAGCAGTTATTGGCTGGTCAAGTTGTTCTGAGGTTTTTAGCTTCGTTCGTGCATCTTTATCCCAAAAGCTGAATCTACCATCTGATCCTACTGTTGCAAGAGTACCATGGACCGGGTGAAATGCTATCCCATTTACCTGCAGAACCATAAAAAACATCATGTAAAACACCACACATAGCAACAGGTGATGGGAACACTCACAACAGATGGGCTGAATCCCAAGAGAGCAACACAGGAAAGGAAATCTTCCACTAGATAGAGTTCTTATTTTTTAAGATGTTTTCAGATACGTCATCAGGGGGAAAAACAACGGAACAAAAACCACCAAAGCAATGAGGAATGCATCATCTTTGTACTGTACCTAAAAATTCACAGCATAATGCCATTACATACTTAAGTGTTGTTTCAATATCAGCAAAACTAACAAGTGCCAACTTCACCAAGATCATAGAATCAACCAGGTTGGAAAAGACCTCCAAGATCATCCAGTCCAACCCTACCGTGGTCACCAGACCATGGCACTAAGTGCCACATCCAGTCTCAGCTTGAAAACCTCCAGGGATGGTGACTCCACC